GTTTTATGTTTTATTAGTTACTGTAGTACTGATACTGCATTTGCACAAGATTACTACCATATTTAAAAATGCAGAATACATGTTGTATGCTGTTGGTGAATTACCAATGACGCCAGACTACGGTATATATAATTGTGTCAGCACTTGCAATTTGCACATAAAAAAACAGTGACATTCAATGTCCGGAACTGTCGCCTGGCATTTAAAAATAAAAGAAAAAGCTACCTGAAACGAACACTAACCAGTTCTTTCAAGGAACACTCATTTATATTTTCATGTAGTATGTTTCTAGAACTAGATGTATGTCTTGTGATTTAGTAATAAAATCTACGTTTGCATGAATCTTCTTCAATTTCCACGAAGAACAAAACAAATTTTCTAAGAATTTCTGCTGGAACAAGCCAGAGTATGTATGAGTTGTCTTCCAAATTTGTTTCCTTAGAATCTCTTGCAGCTCAAATAGAAAGATAGAATAATTAAGAGCTGAATAGATTTGGTTTTAAACTGCAACAGAAAATGACACCAGCTAACAGAGATCCACAAAGGGCTGCATGTTGTCTGCAGTTGTTACTGTATTAATGCTGTTATCTGCAGCCAACATATGTTGTGTCTGTTGATCTATGTTTCATCTGTACATGAGCTGCGTTCTGCTGCCACAGATACTAAACAGTGACAGCTCTAGGCAGCTCTGTCAGTAACACCACGACATATGAATTCTACATGAGACACATATTTTTCATTGTAGATATTGAAAGCATGGCAGGTGAAATAGAACAACAAAATACAGATACAAGTGATAAAGAAACTAATTTATTGCAACAATTGTGTGATTACAAACAACGTGCTGAATTAGCAGAATATTCACTTACAAGGGCTTTGGATGATTTGAATATTGCTAAGTAAGTCATTTTTAAGGAGTCAATTCAATTATCAAGTTCATACAACTTATTTATTTTATGTTCTATAAATCCAAAATAATGGTAACAAAATGGGCTTGAATTACTGTGAGCATACTACAGCCATTTATTTGAGACTGAAACCTTTTCTCTATTCCTTTCTGTTGATGAAGCAAGAGCAATTATTACAATTGACCTTGTGTGACTATGTTAACATTTTGATAACTTAGACTAACATGTGACAGTCTTGCGACTAGCCTGTGGTAATCCTGTAACTAACATGTGACAGCCATGTGATTAACATGTGATAATCATGTAACTACCGGTAACATGTGATAGCCATGTGACTTACGTGGTAATAAATGTGACAACCATGTGAATTTGGTATTCAATATTTATGGTATCATTCCTTCAGATCATTTGCTCAAAACTTTGTGATGTCATCGTCGACCCATATCCATGACAGTTCCCATCATGCACTGCATTTATCTGCTGATGAAGATGATGCTTACTTTGATTCATATGGCCATTACGGGATCCACCAAGAAATGTTACAAGATAAAGTCAGAACACAAAGTTACAGAGATTTTATTTATAAAAATGAACATTTATTTAAAGGCAAGGTAAGATCAAGCACAGAATAGCTTTAATTGATTAGTATGAATAATAAATCTACTCGGGTAGAATCTTGAATAAATATTGATGAACCAAACCAAAAGGTGTTGCTGTGTGTGGTTGAATGTCTTCGTGACCAACTTTTATCTCTTCATCATTGCCAGACATTGCATGTACAAAACTGAAGACTTAACATTTGTATTGAGCTCCAGTCCAGGATCATTGATGGCAGTCAGGGGTCATTGATGGCAGTCAGAGGTCACTGATGGCTGTCAGAGGTTACTGATGGCAGTCAGAGGTCACTGATGGCAGTCGGAGGTCACTGATGGCAGTCAGAGGTCACTGATGGCAGTCAGAGGTCACTGATGGCAGTCAGGTCACTGATGGCAGTCAGAGGTCACTGACTGCAGTCAGAGGTCATTCAGGCCAGTCTGAAAAGGGGAGTTTCTAAAACTGGTTTTGTCAATGTCCATTTTCCGTTTCGAACATTTTCTCAGAAATTCTGCAGCAGATATCGATGAAACTTGGCAGGTTGATGAACAGGTCTCTGCCGAGTATGGCTTCTAAGTGGGTCTTTTTCAAGATTTTCATCCAAAATTACCGCTCCCTACTGCACTGACAGAGCAACTGAGCATGCTCAGAATAAATAATTAGCTTAGATTGTAATGCTAAGGTTTTTTATAGTGATGCTATCGTACCATTATCAATCTTAGTAGAGAACGTTGAGGGGTACATTTTGATTGGAATTATAGTGGTGATATTGAAACAAACCCAGGTCCTGTAATATACAGAGACCTGAATTAACAAAGAAGGCAAGTTGTTATTTAGGTACATCAAGGTTTACTCAGATTTATGAATGCCGTTTCTTGAGCATGTATGAGACATAGTTTGGTTGCACTTGTGTACTCTGAGATTTTGGACCTGGGTCAATGAAAGTAGAGTTGTTGTAGATGTTCCATGTACTATTTTAACATCAGTATTTTATAATTAACAGGGACTGTGACATTCATGTCTTGTTACAATTTTGATTTTCACTTATCATATTACATTATTCATTTTTGTAAGCAATGAAAAATCACATTTTTAGCATTATATTTGGTATTTTCCTTTCAAAATATGGTTTATTTAAAAGATCTTCAATATGCTATATAACATGTATGGTTTAACAGTGCACTGGATATTATTTTGAAGAGAAGCACATTCATAAACAATTCTAACCAGACAGTATTTCACTTGTAGGTTGTTTTAGACATTGGTTGTGGTACTGCTATACTGTCCATGTTTGCTGCTAAAGCTGGTGCCAGTCATGTGATTGGTGTGGACCAATCAGAAATCATTTACCAAGCAATGGATATTGTGAGGTACAGTGGGTTATCAATTACCATACAACTGTTTATTTTGTGTATTCTCACGGTAATACAGATCTAGTGTATAGGACTTAAGTTATTTTGGGGTTGTATTTTCATTTATTTTGCATAATCTTTTTCATATGTTCATGGATATTATGGACTGATGCCTGTGTGACCATCCATGCGATCCTGTGTCACTGACATGCCTCTATCAGTCATGTTTAATCCTAACACATCTTATCCATCATGTATTACGTAGAATACATATGCACATGCATTGTTTCACGATTCATTCAAGATGGCTGAATTCAATATCATTTCTGCCATTCTGGGATCAGATCTTGGTTGTGTTTGGACAGATTTTGTTCAAACTGAGTACATACATTGGATGTACATGCATACGCGTGAATTCTGATTCAAAATGGCTGACAAATTTCAAGCTTGTGTACTAATACACAACAGGGACAATGTCATGTTGTGTCATTTTTTTTGACGAGAAAAATTATTGCATTCAAATGGTTAAGTTGTCTGTTGATTACTTTGCAGAGAAAATGATTTAGAAAAACAAATTACTTTAATAAAAGGGCGAATAGAGGATATTGAGCTTCCAGTAAAACAGGTATGCCTTATTTTGTTTATTTGTAGTAGTTTTACATGGCAGTGTTTTCTCAAAGTCAAACTTTTGCTCCTTCCACTAATTATCCACAGATTATCTCTTGTTCGTTTATACGGCTGTGACAGAACATAGAACAAATTTCCAACTGATTGCACTGAGCTGAAACAGCGCCAAATTCACCAAAACAGCTGAACTTTGCTCAAGCTGAACATGTTTACATGGTAATTTTTGCTGTCTTGAGCTGTTGGGCTCTGATAAAATGTTCTTGTGTAAACAAGGTCTCTATGAACTTTGACCTCAGGGATTCACATGACATCATTCTATATTGCCCACATGTTGTACTGTATTCAATTTCATGTGATTAGAAATAGTGTCATAATGTTTGATATCTCTGTACTAGTCTAGTGGTGATTGATTTAGGCATGAGGGAGACGAATTACAGTTACTGACACAAAGAAAACGAACAAAGTGGTCAAATTTGCGTCGTCGAGTTTGTTTCTTTGTTGTAAAAATATACACACAAAAGGGGGCGAGACAGGGGTAGAAAAATAAGAAAAACTTATCCTACCAGCCATGGCGTCGGCGCGGCAGCAACCCAAGCTAAAACTCGAACAGGAAAAGGCAGGCTTCCAGGCTGAACCGCATAGTTTCATCCCTGCTCGGTGCGGAGAAAGAAACAGAGTGATCTAGAAAGCAATATGGATACGCCTTGTTGGCCCGGTCACGTGGTTCGTGACTTGAGGTAAAATCTTGAGATCATGAGGCTTTCCCTGATCTAGATTCTATCTCTCCGTCATTGGCAGAATCACTGATTAATGCCTACAGTTCAAAATAGTCATTTTGACTGACCAGAGTCTATGGTGGGTAATTGAACGTAGTGAATTGAGGAAAGATGATTATTCATAGAAATTAGTTTTGATACTGAGAATTCTGAGATACTGTAAGGGGCAGCCATGTTTGTTTTTATTATTAGAGGACGCTTATGTACATACTCATTCCATATTTGGAATTCACATTTCCTAATATGGTAGGATAAAAATACTGTGTAAAATACTGCAAAATTATGGCATGCTGTAACTTATGGCGTTAGATGACAGATATATAATAATGTCATGTATTAATGTCCGTGAAAATAAAATTGTTTTACAGTAGTTTAAATACAATTAGGTCATGTAACTATGACAACATATATGTGTATCTAAAGCCAAGATACATGACAATACAGTCATGTAGTATTCATAATAGTTTTCGCTTAGAAGATTAGTTCATGTAAACCTCTAAAAAAAAATTTTTATTTTGAGGGATATTGGCAATTTCCCTTTGTTTACTTTGTTCATTCTGTGTTATTAATTTTTTCACTGTTTGAAATCATTCAATCAATTGAAAATTCAAAAAAAAAATTTTAATTTTTTATATTGTCAATTTCCCTCTGTTTGTTCATTCTGTGTTATTAATTTTTTCACTGTTTGAATTCATTCAATTTGAAAATTAAAAAAAAAAAAATTATTTTTTCTATTGTCAATTTCCATCTGTTCATTCTGTGTTATTAATTTTTTCACTGTTTGAAATCATTCAATTCATTTGAAAATTCAAAAACATTTTTTTTATTTTTGCTATTGTCAATTTCCCTCTGTTTGTTCATTCTGTGTTATTAATTTTTTCACTGTTTGAAATCATGTTTTGGAAATTGTGCCTCACATCACATTTCTGTTTAGTAATTATAGAAATGCTGGTTTGTCTTTAGAATTTGCAATCATATTATTATTATTTTTATCTAGGTTGATATTATAATATCAGAATGGATGGGATATTTTCTATTGTTTGAGTCTATGCTGGACACAGTAATATATGCAAGGGATAAATGGCTTGCACCCAATGGAGCAGGTGAGTGTACTGCATTAATTATTCACTGGGTTTTATTTTAACTATTTTCGCTGTTAAGGATAATTTGCTAATTTAAATCTATGTGAACAAGTAAAATAACAATAAAATTCATTGTTTTGCTGACAAATTTGTGAACTTATAACCCCTGTAAATATACTGAAAACATCAAAATAGTGAAATTAAATGTGAAAATAAATGATTTTACAGTATTTGCATGTGTATCATCTATCCCAAAATGCATTGCAAATAAGCTTATCACATGGTCACTTTCCACCAATCAGGGCCTGACAGATTATATTTCGGGAAAGTTAGAAATCAGTTGCATTAGAGATGAATTCAACAACTTTACAAAGCAGATTCTTGTGGCTGGAAAAATGTTAAAAGTTATTTTGTTTTTTGTTTTCTGTCTTGATTCAGTATATCCTGACAAATGTAATATTAATCTTGTTGCTATGGGTGACAAAAAAAGCCATTCCTCTAAAATTGCATTCTGGGAAGACGTTTATGGTTTTAAGATGAATTGTATGAAAAGCTGTGTATTACAAGAAAGTAGCGTTGAGGTTGTCAAACCGGTGGTAGTCATGTCACAACCAGCTGAAATAAAGGTAAGAAATGGTTACGTTCAGACAATGATTATTTTTTGGCTTGGGTCCTCTAAAATTCATGATTTTTCTATGACTTGACAAACACTTTTTGATATTTTTTAAAGATTGTAAATTCAATAATGAATGCTGGAATGAATACCCTTTTACTCATTAAAAAAAACCAATTCAGCGGCATATATGTAGTATTCCAATGAAACTCTCATTTACTGATTTACCTACAATATTTTAAAATAATTAATGCAAGAAACTTAAAATTTACTATTAAAAAAACATACTTGTAATTTCACAGACTGAACATTTGAATTTGTCGTTGGAAACAGTCAAGAATTTCACCCAGTATACAATGTATTGATGTTGATAGATGTCATGTATGTGTCACCATTATCATATACCTTGTATTGCCCGGCCTTGCCTATGGAAAGTGTGCCCTCACATCAGGGCAATAATTTCCTAATCATGACCGACACAGTATGCTCGGTTTTCATCAATCAAAACAATGGTGGTCACACTGTGTTAAAATTGTAATTACACCTATTAGGTACATGTATATGATAAATCTGGATATCGCTTACACGTCCTCAGACCGCAATAAAGATTATTATTATAATCACATATCACCTTCAAATTTAGAATTTCATAAAATTAAAATTTACACATGACTAGCAAAATGTTTAAAGTAACCAAAATTATGGAAATTGTAATTTTTGTAAACCACTCACAGGTTAACAGGCATGGCCATCACAGAAAACATAATTTGCGACTTTGTCTATAAAATTGCATGCAAATACAATTTGCATTATAAAGTATAAATTTGAGTTTAAATGTCCAATCATCAGAACCATTTTACAATATTTTCACTCCCTAGGCTATCGATGTCTGTTCTTCAAATATAAAAGATTTAGATTTTACATCAGAATTCACATTAGAAATGACTAGAGAGGACACATGTACAGTAAGTATATAATCAATGCTATATATATTGGTATAATTGTGATAGAAGCAGGATAGTTTGCTTTTTTGTGTGAAAGTGCTAATCGTACATTTTGCCATAGAAATCATATCCCATGTTTAGACTATGTGTAGCTTCTATGAATCAAACATCAATAGATTCACTTTGTCCTTTTGTTAACAAGATCCAGTCAAACTCTTACACCTGTGGAATTTAACCAAAGTCCCCTCAAAGTTGCTTCTGTTTGTGAATGAATTAAAACTCTGCCACTGGTTTTGACCTTCCCTTTGAGTCCGTGGTACACTCACCCAGGGTACAGTGGATTTGACCTCCCCATTGAGTCTGTGGTAAACTTACCCAGGGTACATTGGCTTTGACTCACCCATTGAGTCTGTGGCACACTCACCCAGGGTACAGTGGCTTTGACTCACCTATTGAGTCTGTGGCACACTCACCTAGGGTACAGTGGCTTTGACTCACCCATTGAGTCTGTGGCACACTCACCTAGGGTACAGTGGCTTTGACCTCCCCATGAGTCTGTGGCACACTCACCAAGAGTACAGTGGCTTTGACTCACCCATTGAGTCTGTGGCACACTTACCCAGGGTACATTGGCTTTGACCTCCCCACGAGTCTGTGGCACACTCACCTAGGGTACAGTGGCTTTGACCTCCCCACGAGTCTGTGGCACACTCACCTAGGGTACATTGGCTTTGACTCACCCATTGAGTCTGTGGCACACTCACCTAGAGTACAGTGGCTTTGACTCACCCATTGAGTCTGTGGCACATTCACCCAGGGCACAGCGGCTTTGGCTTACCCATTGAGTCTGTGGCACACTTACCCAGGGTACAGTGGCTTTAGCCTCCCCATGAGTCTGTGGCACACTCACCTAGGGT